GTGATGGACGTTTATAGAATTTCTACTAACAATAAGAGAATAACGATTGGAAAATCGATAATCGTGACTGCGAGAAGTAACGCGTCATCCTTTGCGCGTTTTCGCTCCATTTACTAAATTGTTTATTTTTTCACGATAGAAGTTTTCTCTTTTTTTTTTTTTTTTTTTTTTTTTTTTAAACGACCGTATCTTGTCGCGAAAAGATCGCGCACGCAACGCGTTTCGCACGCAAAGAGCCGAGCGTACTTTCAAGGGAATCTGGTTAGAAATGGATTTAAGCAAAAGTAAGAGTCTCTCTTTGAAAGAAATGTAGAACGGAGCGGAATCTAGCGCGGAAAGTTGATTTTACCAAGCAACGTAATTCACTCGCTCGCGGAGCACATAACGATTTAAAGTCGCTCTGAAAGCGCTTCACGACGACAAATTGTAGCAACACTCACGATCGGCGAAGAATTCGAAGAAAAGTGAGGATATATACAACGATTATAATGGCATAATATTCCGGAAAAGCCTGGCAAATCATCGATATGGAGAGAGACGAAAAAGCAGTTTTGCCATCTGGATCGCCGCGCGAAAAAGTCACGCTTTTTCACAAACACGAGATCCATTAGATATTTATATCAGTTCGAAACCATTTTTGCGCCTAGATATTTTATAGATCGTACAATTTTTTCCAAGAACAACGTTAAACCCAATAAATGATTAAATTTCGCAAAACTCACTCTTGATCTTTCGCGTATCCCGTCCAACTTTCTTCATTTTTCTCTTTACTTTGTAAAACTTATGGAAAAATTTGCCGATACCGTTAAGTGGGTTTTTTAACTTTAGCTGCTAAATAATTACAAATACAGCGATCCATTTTAAAAATACATTCATGCCAACTAAAGCTACAATACTGTAATGCTCTGCGCCAATAACAATATTGGATGATAATGCTTCTACTACAGACAATTACAAATATCTCACTTTTAACATTATAATTCAATATACACTATATAAGGAGGGCAGAATCTTATTTTCAGATTTTTTCGCGAAACAAAAAGATTTGAAAGGATATCTTGGACCACATTTCGAAATCTCCCTCCGTCTAAAAGTCTTACAGCAAGCTGCTAAAACTTATTCACGTGTAAGAATGTAATATCGTAATGGCGCGTTCTCGCGGCGAAGCCACGAAGCAGTATTCGTGCTTTCAGCGATGAACGTCAGCCGGCGCGAGGAAGAAAAAAAAGAAGGAAGAGGTTCCACGCGTGAAAACGAGAGAGCCTGCTGGGAGATTGCCGAAGGAAAATAATAGGACAATGCGCGCATCCCGACGAACGGATATACGAGAGCAAATTCGTCGATTCGACAAAGTATCGACTGACGGGCGGATAGGTGGACGTATAGATGAACGAACGAACAATCAAACGCGGGTCGTGGACGAATAAATCGAAAAAGGGATCGGGTAGGGGAGGGAGGGGCGAGATAAACGTCGCTGCGCAAATTCGTGCGAGAAAAATAGGAGAGGCAAGATGTATCCCCGACATTTCCAAACAGAATGGCGGAAGAGGACGATCCTCAATAGCGTTGACAAGTCGGAGTCGACCGGCGGTTTTACCGTTACGTGACCCAATGACGGGAGATACGTGGCCGCTTCCACTGTTCGGCGGTGCCTCGTATAACCGATAGTACGGTATAACGCGAATGTGTGTAGACGGGATCGCGCGTTCCACTTCACACCACAGTAGGAGTCATGAGGTCAAAGATTTATTTCGCCGAATTCATTAAAGAGTTTCCCGATAATTTCTCTTCCAATGGTTTTTGTCGAGAATTTCGATATTGATTAAATATCCGATCCTTTAGTATCCTGTTCTATTACTCGAAGGAATTTGCGTTTCTTCACGTATACGCTTCTCTCTTAAACACTGATAATTCTAGAAAACGCATACTCCCTTTAACGCGTTCCCATTTCTTTCGTCGTATTATTAGCAGTGGAATATTCAGCGTACACCAGTATTCTTATTCATGATGAACCTGAAAATTCTGGCTCTGAATAGATGAGCTTGCGAGTGGCAGGGATAAGTCCGAGACAGACAGACATACAGATGAACTCAAGTGGTTCATAGGGTTTCCATTTGAATATACGAAACCGTGACAAGGCATACGCTCGCAACGTACGTCATGAGCTTCATTGTTGAATATCACGAGTCTCTGTGGGAGCAGTCAAACAGACAGTACTCGCTATTTCCGTAACTTCTCTGCACGGTCATTTTTTCACATCGTAATCGTGACTACGATTTAGATGGAGCATTTAGTTAACTTCGGTTAGTGTTAACCAACGCCAGTCGAGTCAACCATAAATATTCGCGACATTTGTGGTCACGACACTGCGGGGAACTATTAGTTTTCAACGTCACCGCGCTGTGATATTCGATTTTCGCGGTGATTTGTGTCGACATTCGATGTTACGTTACGATAGTGAAACGCCATGATGCTGTGTCATATGAAAATCGATTTTTATAATAGTGAGGACTTCATTTTTTGGATCATGTAAATTATATTCAAAACGTGAGCGTTATTAATATTATAATAGAATATATAATATTAAGCATATACTCCAAATATATCACGCGCATCTTCTCTCATCTATATTTTTCATCGGTTAATTTAAAGACCATTTTCCTTTAAAATGTAGACAGATCGGAAAATTATACTAGAAACCTGGACGTTATTAATATTATAATACAATATACATTAGTATGCATGTACTAGATATATCACGCATCTTCTCTCATCTATTTTTCATCGATTAATTTAGAGACTATTTTTCTCTAAAATGTGGACAGTCTGAAATGAAAAGATTTATAAATTTATCTAGCTTAAATTGGTCGTGTGCAAGAGACATCGGATCATTAAATATTCTCGTTGAAGCGATCTCTCCGATATTTGAAATAATTATAACTGGACTCATCAACGATAGTTATTGAGAAATATATATATATATATATTTCATTTTAAATCATACTGTTCTGACTCCGTCGATCATTATTAGATTTATTTTTATAATTAAAACTGAGCTCTATGCGCGTGCATTTCTCTCTCTTAATTTACACAAAGAATTACCAAAATTTCATACCATTTATATTTGCTAAACAAATGTACGATATGGTGGAGAAGAATGGATGGGAATGACGTGTTGTTTCCACGGTTGGTTGCAAAACGCACAAACAGGGTTGGAGAATGCAGGGCTTTTTTTGTTTCTTTTATAAAGATGAAACAAACAAACTTTTAAACCGTGAATACTTTACATATACGCGAAACAAACGTTACTTTAAAGCATAAGAGACACATAATAAACATGTATATTTTTAAATACGCATTTATAAATTTATAAATTTTTTTCCTATCGGTTATTGCTTTTATATTATAACTTTATATTATGACATTTTCGATCTTTTATTGCGAACTTTGCGTATAACATATATTGGTTATTCTGTGTAACAGATTCGTATGTAATAGATTTTTTATATGAAACAGAATTT